TTACCGCTAGTCCCAGAGGTGTCACATTGCTAATCCGGTTTGGGGGGGGGGGGGGGGCTTGGCCGTTAAGGTAGGTCTAACCTACTCCCAAAACCGGATTTCTCCTTAGTTTTCTGCCACTTGCGCTCCCTTTCCTGGTATTATAGCTTATTACTGTTTAAAACCCACATTTTCGACCCTCATTTTTGGTTTTGTTGCTTATGAGTGCCTTCACAATCTGCAACTGCAAACAATAAACTGCATTTTTTGTAAAAAGCTTAGAACAAAGCAGGTCGTCTACCCCTGTATTATTTACCGCATCCCCTTACTTCATCCGCTGCCTGTGTAATTCGCCAGATTTTTTGTCGTGGTCTGTTTCAAATTATGTTTTCCAGTGACTTACATGCATAATGCATTGGAGTAGTGATCACATTCACGGCATGCAAAACCATGACCACGGTCGTCCGGCAAACAAAAATACGATCCAGACAAATATGCACAATTTTCAAGAGCTCCATTCACAGTTTGCAACAGCGTTGTGTTGAAAAACACGTTTCACATTTGGGAACGATTGGAAAAGCATGAAGTAGGTATTGCGGATGGAGCATTACGCGCTGTTGGCCACAGGGTGGCCGCGCAAGCCATCCGAGGTGGCTCCACCAGCCCTAATGTCGCCCGTGACGTAAATCACTGATATATAACTTAGCCAGGGATGCATATATGTGTGTATATATACGTATATGTATATACATGCATATATATATATATATATATATATATATGTAAATATATATATATATATACATATATACCGTTGTGATGTGTACAAAACGGCGTGCGTACCTTGTGCATTGTCACTAATGACACCATTCTACGGTCTGCTTTCACGGTGGTGGACGTGACGTAGTTTCCCGTCAGCATTAGGAAACAGACTCGGGGAAATGAGCTTAGTCAACAAATTCCGGACTACGTCTAAATACATGCACTGATTCAACGTAACCCGCATCCTTTAACGCAACATTCGACGCATTCAACAGATTGTTGGACCATCATCCATGAAAATGACAGTGACATCATCATCGACAGTGACATCATCACAGTGACGTCATCCATGAAAATGACAGCAACGTCAGAGTTTTCACTGAAGGGCGAAAACAGGGCGCCGGCTTATTTTACCTCCTAGATATTTTCGCGTGTGAACGGCCAACGCCGGTATTTAGAGGTGTCGTTCGCTTTATATGCATGACGTCACACCAGTGACGACGGGTTTCCAAAGCCCGAAACCAAGGTCTTCGAGGGCAATGCACCCCTTCCAGCCACTTGCCACGTATCATGGCATACGTGATATCATTGCGTCCATTTTCTAGGAGGCCGCCAAAAATATTTGTGCAGTGAGTAAGGTGATCCTTAAGATAGCTGAAAAAGGCACCTCCGTTGAACGGCCTTCGCGGCACACATGGGTCAACGCCTGCTGCAGCCAACGTTCGTGACATTCACGCGCTCATCATCGGCAGCAAGCGATGAGAATATCGCTCCTCCGGGGCCACACCGGCTGCCGTCACGGCCGAATCCATTCTGGTCACTGTCGGCAGCGGCGGATCGTGACGCCCCCTCCCCCTCCCCTCTCGCCGTCCGTCCGAAAGGCCGCGGGCGACGGGACGGTCGGTGACGCGGTGACGGGTCCCGTCGTGCCCGGGTCCACTCACCGCTCACCAGCGATCCGATCGGCCGAGCTGGCGGGGACCAGTGTGGGAACGCAAGACAATAGAGTGGCCGGCGACTCTGCTGCCGCCACTGCCGCCTCTCAGCGTCAGGCGGCCGAGACGCACCAACAAAAAAGGGTGATTACCTATTGTCAGCTGATTTTTTGTGGCCTTCGGAAAAAAACACGTGAAAAGATAAACAGGGCTAAATCGGCAAGATTGGTACGAAGATGATTGATGAAGTCGGTCAGGTCCACAAAAAAGGACTGGGAA